TTAAAACCCAACACAAGCTAAAGTTTGTTTTCTAACCAATTTGTTGCCAGTTTTTGCTACACCTCAAGTGTCATGTTATTAATTCGCCGGCTGACGCGCAGGGCTTCTCCAAACAGGTGTTTCCCAGCACAGCGACGCACAATCTGCCAGAGGAGTCAGCAGCTCAATGATTAAATGCTGTAGCTGGCGGCTCCCCGGGCGACTTCTCTAATACACCACACAAATAAACGCAGTTAGCGTGTCAGCCGTGCTGATCGGAAAGCGTAAAGTGACACTGAAGAAGACAAATAAGACCGAGCTCATCCGTGCGGTCATTTAGAGCTTCCTTATTTAAAGAGAACATGGACGAATTACAGAGGATGCGTCTGAAAGCAGTGCTTCATCAGCTGCACTTGTTCAGAAACACTGTCGGCTAAAATGAACTGCTATAGAAAGCATTTACTGGAAGTCATGTTTAAAGTAAGGTGAACAGTTTCCCGCACAGTTACATTCAGATTGTAAGGGTGAAGTTACACTTTTAATGCGTTTGCAGAGGCTTAAATTCTAAAACCTCCACACTCAGTGTTCATTGATGTGTTTTGTTCTGCCTACAGGGGAGCAGAGCAGCTTGGAGAAGTTCAGCAGTTTGGGCTCAGAGATGACCAAACGGGATAATAACATCTTGCTGGCCAACATGTGCTGTCAGATGGGCTGCAGGAAGACCGACCTCGCCCACTTCTGCTGAGGACAATCCTCACTTTTGTTGTTGTTGTTGTTAAAGTGACCATAATGACTGTGTTCCCTACAAATCTCACCTTGCTAAGAACTGTTATGATCTCTGTGCAACTGTTAAACTTTGTGAAAGTGAATCTGGATGAGCATCTCTGAACATGTCCCTGAACCCGAGCTGTACATGTGCGACCATAAATAAATGTTTTAAAATAACACAAAATCTGAAGCTTTTTCTTTCATGGTGCATGACTGTTAAAAAGTCAGTTTCTGGCTCTGCTTCAGTTGTCTTTCTTGCAACCTTCACCTGTATTTGGTAATTTTTTTTTGCTACTTTTGTCAAATAAATATTCTATTATAACACCGGATTCAATTCTGCAAAGGTTTTTTTTTTTTTTTACTCCAAATACTGGACAACGTGTGAACGTATCAAACTGGATCACTAAGATCCCCCCACGCAAAAGTAAGCAAGTACGTACACAAGTGCATGAATAAGTAACTAAACCAGCTGGCAGAGCAGGTGTGCACAAACGCCCACACACCACTTACACATGACCCATAGGCAACAACCCAGCCCCGCCTACAAGGGGCGGTACTTAGAGCAGGTTTCACCTCTCCGGTAAGCATGCAACAAGAAAATAAACTACACTCTTAACTCCTCTGTGCTCTTATTCCAAATCCAGCTTCAGTCAGTTCGCATTTTATGAAATAAAGGAAAGCACAATAGCATCAATAACCTGTGTTTATTTTCCCTACGTAAATTTTATTAATTCAAGTTGATTCCACTATATCATTTTCTATGAAACAATAGCATCTTTGGCCCGGCTAGCTCCTGTCAGGCTTTGGGCCCAAAATGACCATAGAGTCCATATTTACAGTGTTAGCTGTCCTAGCGTACAAACTAGCTTAGAATGAAACTGATTTTACACATTTAAATCATTAAAGCTTTAAAATTCAGCTAATTTAATGAGATGGTGGCAGAGCAGACAGGTTTAAGGGAACCTCAAAGCTACTGCGGTTCATCCTCAGAGGTGTATGTGTGTTTGGACCAAATTGGATGGGAATCCATCCCATAGCTGTCAGGATTCCCCCGACAGGAAATTTGCCATCATGTGCAAATCACACTAACCAGCCACGTGTACAAATGCAAACATAATCAAATTATAGCCTTCAGTTCTAGCCCTGACCAGCGGTTTACCACTGGATACAGGTTTACATACCTTGGTTTTAACCACTTGTTACAACGAAGGTACGCAGAAGAGCATCTGTGAACCATGATGTAAGAAGAACATAGTAGGTGCCAGCTGTTTAGTGCCACAATGTCAC